GGGAAAATATAACATATTATGTTTAGGCCTGCTAGTTAATGGGATTTTGAAAACTAACAGTGTTAAAAATGTGAAAGAATATTGAAAGGGACTAGATTGTTAATTTAGAAGAAATATATGCCTTCTTTAGCATAGTTAAACCGATAATAATGCCCGTTTCTTTTTTGCTGTTTTTATATTGATATAAAATAGAATAATAATAGTATAGTATTGATAAAATGAAATATAGTAGATAGAATATTGATGAATTAGTTTTATAAAGGGAATAGATGCTTGGTTTAATAGTGTATGTTATTGAATACAAATTAAAACAAGGGGGGGAATGGGAATCTGTATGCAAACATGATGATGTGAGTGAGATATTTGGCTAGCTATTTAAAAATGTATGGCTCTTTTCTATGTAACTTGTTAAAAAATAATAAACTTTGCCCAATCTGGGCAAGTAAAAAATAATAATAATGAAATTTTAGCAGAGATCTATTAAGCTGAAGTTTTAGTAATTGTCAGATGTCCACAGACAAATTAATCATTAATTTTCAATTGGAAGCAAACCAATTGAACAAGTTAAATTTTTTAGATACTTAGGTCTGCACTTCCAGTATAATGCATCTTGGTCTGTGCAGTGTAATTCAGCAATAAATATGGCCAACATAAATGCTTCTGCCATTTCCCGATTCTTCTACACCAGAGGCAATCAATTCACACCAGCTGCATTAAAAGTCTTCAGGGCCAAAGTAATCCCCCAACTCATGTATGGTATTCCAGTATGGATAAGTGCACTTAATGGCACAATAGAACTTGTTCAATCTAAATTTCTTCAAAAGATCATGGGAATGCCGCGTTGTGTACCTTATGCAGCTTTGTGTTTAGAAACTGGGTTAAATTCTGTGGAATCTGGTGCATGGCTAATGACAGTAAAATATTGGCTGCGTTTACATTACGATGTAGACCAAGAGAGCCTTATGCAACAAATGCTCACAGAGTCAAACATGTCTGGCTACCACACATTGAGAACAAAATAACTGCCACGGACTCACTGCTTATGCTCCCTTTTATGGGTGCTTTTCAGATGATTAAATAGAGAGTTCTTGACACTGAAACACAAAGGCTATACAGCTTAGCCAACAAATCTTGCACCCCTATGAATTTTGAGATGGCCCCATACCTATCTGATATACAAGCACCACAACAGCACAGAGCCTTTTCATTAGCAAGATTTAATGCACTACCATCAGCAATCTTGCATGGGAGATATAATAATATAGCATATACAGCTAGACTTTGCCATTGTAACTCTGGATGCACTCAGACAGTTTCACATATCTATTTGCATTGCCAATTTTATGTAGATATACGTTTTAGATATTTAAACCCTATTTTAGCCAACATGACAGACCTTCCTGATGTTTTAAAAGTGCACCATCTTCTGAATGACTCCAATACTGAAATATCAGTGAAGGTAGCCATGTTTTTACAATCAGCTATAAAGCTATGTCAGGAAAAACTATCAAAATGAGCAACACTTTGTAACAAACTGCTTTTGTAACATTATGCCATATTATGTAGTTTGCAAAATACTTGGTTTTATATATTTGTATAGTAATCCTCTTTTAAGGTATTGTTTTATGCCAATAAAGGCTGACTGACTGACATTAATTTTTAAAAAATGCCAGGAAGTAAAATGCCCAGTAAAAAGCACAGCATTGATCTAGTTAAAGAAACAAGTTTTTAAAACTATGCTTTGATATAATGCAAGACAGCAGACCCAGTAAATCTAAGTTCAGAAAGGAACACCACTAGGTATTTTGGAAGCAGACCCTGTGGTATCCTTAAGTGACCCTTCAACATCAGATGCTACATGCCAATGGCATGAATCATAGCTTAAGTATTGGTGTCCATCCACTTGAGAGTTATATATCAGGACTGTCAAGTACCAGAGCACTATGCCATGCTCAGTAAGCAGCACTTGGAGTATTCCAGTAGCAAACAGAACTTCCAAAAAATAATGTTGTTTAGCATAACCATTTTATGTGCCTATTAAGACAGCTGGAATATTACAGCATGGGGTGACACAGCACATAAACACGTAAAAATCACAGAGTAAAAAAACTGTAGATCCACAGAAGCTAAATAAAATGTGAATATATGTTTTAGTAGTATATTCTATACACATAAAAACTACTTACTTCAATATGTTCCTTAGTAATGAGCCATGGTCTGTGTGCCAAGATTTTGTTCAATTCACCCAGATTCTGTAGTTTCTGAGGTGCATTCTCTAGACCATTCAGCCATTTAGGGTCACCCCCAACATGAAGAAAGTCACTGACATGGAGATTAACCAAGTAAGAGCACTGGTGCCTAGCAGCCGCCTGGAAAAACACACAAAACTATCAAATGTAGACATTCTCTGTGGTGAAGCTCTTGACTACTGTAACAAATATGGACAGGTGAAGGAAAAGTTACACAGCATATATTATTAATGCTACACTGTAAAGATGATATCATGTTTGTATTGTTTTATATTTGACAAAAAGCTATAAAGTAACACAAAACTTTTTATTATAGTAGCTTCTACCTTCTCACCATATAGAAACATATCAGGTGTCTGAATAGGTTCAACTCAGAAAGGAATGTCACTAAGTTTATTGGGTCTTACTTGTTGGTAAATTTATTTTATGCAACAAAAGCCAGGCTGAACAAACCAAAGGTCCATCCAGCCCAGTACCCCATTTCCAACAGCAACCAGTCAGATGCCACAAAGAAGCTCATAAGTAGGTCCCACTTGTATAAGTCATGAAAACAGAACCATTCTGTAATTTTAGCCCACTCTAAATCTATTTATATATTAAAGCCATGTAAATGGACAGAATAGCATTTTAACAAAAGCTATCATTGGGTGTTATTTACTATGGACTATAGATCTACTTGCTACTTAGACTTCCTGGAAAACTGTGAAAGTACTACTAGAATGTCAACATCCAGCCCTCTGGAGCCCAACTAAATAAAATTCAGAATAGCTGAGTAATAGTAACAGAATACACCTAGTTAAAATAGTAACAGAATAAAGTAAAGGCTTCCCTTGCTTGAAAGCCAGTCGAATCCGACTCTAGGGGGCGGTGCTCATCTCCATTTCCAAGCCAAAAAGCCAGCAATGTCCGAAGGCGTTTCCATGGTCATGTGGCCAGCATGACTAGAAGCCGAGACGCACAGAATGCTGTTACCTTCCCCCTGAAGCAGTACCTATTTATCTACTTGCCATTTTTTTGCTTTCGAACTGTTAGGTTGGCAGGAGCTGGGACCAGAGACTGGAGCTCACTCCACCATGCGGTACTCGGGCCTCGAACTGCTGAACTACCGACCTTCCGGTCTGCAGTTCAGCATCTTAACCACTGAGCCACCGCAGCCCCTAGTAACAGAATGCAATGTTAAAAAAGAGGACTGCTATTCCATGTTCCACTTAAATAGGATCTTTAATTAGCAAGCGTCCTAAATTAAGACAGAATACTGGATATTAGATTCAAAAATATATTTATACAAGGAAGTTAAATTGTTCTAAATGAAGGATCCATTCTTTATATTTGGTGATCTTAGTTGTAACTGTGGAGCAAATACTGAGAGACAGTATTTCTACTAACTAGAAGAATTTGCCAAATTTTGTAAGTTTATTAAGGAGTGGATCCTATGACTCCCTTCTTCTAAGTCAAATCCTATGGCTCTCTTCCGCTAAGTCTTACTACAAGGGAAAAAGACTTCCTCCAATTGAAAATTTACTTTTTCTGGTAGAGAAAGTCTTCTCTCTGATGGAGGAAAATTTGGTCCAATCCTATGTTTCTGACATATGGCCTAAATATATATATATTGAAAATAAGGTTAAAAGCCATAAAATGCCATTATTGCTTCCCATTTCATAATTCAACCAACCATATAAACTACCAGAAGGATAGTTTAACAGGAGTCATCATTGGGTGGCTGTTTATTGCCACAGTTCCACTTGCTAAATAGATGTCCTGAGAAACTTCAGCAATGTTACTGGACATCAACAGACAACCCTTTCGGTACAACAAAATTATAGAGCTGTACAAGGTACCATTATTTATTTCTTTTCACGTACACTGTGCCTTTCTTACTGGGACTCAAGGTGGATTTCAAGTACAATAAGACTAGTAAGTCAATCAGTAAGCCAACTAAAATATATTGTAACATTTGAATGATAACAATATAGCTTCCAGCTTCATAGATCAACCTACCATGATACCTATGTAGTGTCGATAATGAAGAGGCAGTGGCCCATCCATTTGCAACAGATAATGCTGAGTTTTCAAAAAGCTCTCTAGATACTGTGGGTGGAAAACCATCACTAAGGTAATGTTGTCCAAACGCCCTAAAGTTGTGAAAGACTCTGCAAACAAAGTATGCATTTGGGTATCTTCAGTGCTCACTTGAAGAATCTGTTTAAATTTAAAAAAAAGAATATTAGCAACATTTTTGAAAAACAACCACCCTATTGCATATTTGTTCATAGCTCACAGCCCCAAATGAAATTTTAAGCCTATATCAAATGCGATTTTATTCATAACTCCAAAAGTTTTCCATATTTGCCCACTTACAGTCACTTGCCCAATTACAACAAATCAATCACTTTCCGGAAGCATATATGAAGGGATGGGTTTTAAGTCATGCTCTAAAGGTGCAAAAGTAACTTTCCTAATATGCTGAGAGCTATTTTGGTAGCTGGTTATAGTAGGGAAACATGTTTATGACTATCCATGTGACTCAGATTGGAATTTGAACAAATTTATTACCATCAACTAGGTCACATGGTCTCATAGCAATCAATTAATTGTAGAGGCAGAACAGAGTGATACCATGCTGATTAATGTAGCCCTTAAAGCTGAGGAATAGCAACTTATTCTTTAAACAATAGGTACCACAGTTAGAAAGACTGGTGTCTTTTTAAGATGCACTAAATGAAAAATGTGCTATTAAATACCAAAATTCCACACAGAGATTACTATTTTCTAACTCAGCAGATCATTGCCAAACTCTCATGATAATTTATAGCGGTCGTCGCTGTGTGCCATACTTTGCACATCCACAGCTGTTTTCTCAGCCAAAAGTAGACTCTGAAAAGTTTTCCTGAAATGCAACACATTCACCACGTACTTGCAAAACAACTAGCACCACAACGCACCTCCACCTCCGGGATGAATCTGCTTGGTCCTTGTCCCAGTGGTCTAGGAATCCTAACTCCAAGTTCCTAGAAAAGAAAATTACACTATCTGAACTTTTAGCTATAAACATTTCAGCTGTGGCTCCAGGGGGAAGCAAGAATTCACCACAGAAACAAACAGAGCTGCCCTTGTTTCAGAACTGCCATCTATGTGTATGGAAATTTTCTATCCGTGCTTCATAACCAACCACACTTGTTTACAGTATACCATATCGCTGCCACTAAAAACAATGAAACCTGGTTTTGCATGAAGTACTTGGCAAGGTGTCTAGAACAAGGAGTTCAGTACACAGCTGCCAGCGGAGTAATGTCAGCGATACCAAATGTGTTTGAAGTACATCTGTAAACCAGAATTGAAGACTTTCGGTATCTTTCAGGAGATGACAGTTTTAATCTTATCTAAAAAGTTGTTCTACATTTTAACCACAACATTATATGATCTAGGCAAGTTGACAGTTTAAAATGACAAAGAACAAGTAGTGATTTCTCAGATAAATGTACAGCCTACTTAAAATACCACCTACCACAAAACTTTCACTGAAACCACAGACATTTTATGCACAACTCAGATTCTATAAAGAGCGGAGGGCAGAAATCACTCTGCGACGCCCTTAGGGTCAGCATACATAATTAGCAAACCCACCACATGAACAGAATATATTTCCCCCCCGCAACTGGGCCAATTACAGTACCCATAGAGTTTTTTAAAAAGTGAATTTCCTAACATTAAAATTTACCATAAAAACACAGGTTTCAGTAATTCTATAATGTTTAAAGTGACTCAAGCATATGTTTTAAACTGTTGGCTGCTTTGGCAGCCCTTGTGCAGGCAGAAAGGCAAAATATAAACTTTGTAAATAAATAAAATAAAAAGTTAAAAATAGCTTTACCGAATACTTTAAATGGCTGTCTGTACTTTTTTGTGTGAGATTACTTCATTAGGAGGGAAACTTCATTTTTTCCCCCAGCCATCACAAATCTGACGTGATCTTCTCATTGTAAAAAAGAGTATTAAGGTAGGCAAGCACAAGTCATTAGGATATCAGAATAGGGAAATCTGAGTTCCAGTCCCCACTCAGCCATGAAGCTCACTTATAGCCTTCGTTTTTTAAAAAAACGGTACATGTACTGTAATTGGCCCAGTTGGGGGGAAAGCACTAATGAACTTACAACCTTCTAACTCTGCTTAGGATTGCACTGTTAGTAACATTGTTAGGGATGGTTATTGATTGGGAAATTTTGGGAATTCATCATCAATATCTATAATGAGAAGTATTAGAGCCTGCTTTTAGAAGCTAGAAAGTAGAACACACTCAGAATGTTATAAAAAAAGTTCATTTGTAGAAAATAAGCTTACACAGCAGAATGCAAGATGTACAGCAGAAGGCAGAAGGCAGGATGCCGTCCATCATTAGGTAGATAGCATTATCAACATATTTGTTGATAAGGATAGCAAACCAGTAGATACCATGCAGCTGCTCATGTCAGGGGAGGATCAGATAAGATATACCATCCCAATTATACTTGTGGATGGAAATCAGCTGGTTTTCACTACAATGTATAAATAATTGGGAGGAAGCATGTACATAAATGGAATTAAAATGCAGGACTAGGGAGAAGAGGCATGTGAGGAGATTGTAAGTTTGTGGTTGACCAATCAACTGACAAACAGGGACTTTTTGCGTTCGTGATAGGGCATTAGAAGCTTGCATATGTTAATTAGGCGATTGTATAAAAACTGTATGTAACCACAGAACTACGAAGCCCTTGGCCTGAGTTTCTGACCTCAGGCCAGAGTCTCAGATCTCAGGCTGGGTTTCCCTGATGTACACCAGATAAAGATCTTTAAAAAACCTCCACTTTGAATTTTCTGCCTGATTTCTTCGTTGGGCAAAAGTTATTGCCCTGGGGCAAACGTTATTGTCCCTAACAACTGGGGGCTCGTCCGGGATGCTTTCCTGCTAATTTCCTGGCATTGGGATCGCACCCCGGGAGGAAGGTGCACCCCACCGATTTTGGCGGTTCTCCCGAGGGGCTGCCCCAACCTAGGAACCAGGAAAACCAACCACAGGCTCAAAGTTGACATAATTGGAAGAGGGGCAAGGGGGCTCCTTCATCAAGAAAGGTTTTGAGTCCGGAATTCCGAGAGTGTTGAAGGGCCACACAGGTTGCCGCGCACGGAACCTGGTGAGTAAATGGTCTACTGCATCCAGGTGGTCCAGGGGAGGCTACAGTAACTCCTCCAGTCAGGAAGTGTGCCTGATAGTGGAGGGAGGGTACAGTGGGTAGTAACTCCTCTAGTGATGTGAGAGTGGTGAAAATTCTCAGCCTCAGTGTTAAGTCAGGGAGGGTCCTGACAGTTGATGTGCCTAAAAGGTGTTAGGCCAGTGTTGAGTCAGGGAGGGTCCTGACAGTGGAGGGAGGCTCCGGCGGGTAGTAACTCCTCCAGTGAGGTGAGAGTAGTGGCAGACTCTCAGCCTTAGTGCCTAAAAGGTGTTAGGCAGGTGAATGTTACATGTTGTGTCCTGTCTCCTGCTATCCTGTCTTGTCGTGACGATTGGAAGCACGCCCGATCTGAAAGAGGCCCTCGGGTTGGACGTAGACCCCTCCGCGGTCAAACGCCCACGATCAGGGCAGCTGAGTGATTGTGAACTGAGTGTGTGAACTGAGTGTGTCTGTTGTGTGTTGTCAATTCTAAAGGGAAGATGGAAAAAGGAGAGAGTGAGTTGTCCAGAAAGCAGAAAATAAAGATGCAAATGCCTAAGAGACAGGGAGTAGAAGAAGTACAGAGAGATCCACAAAGGGATCCTAGGGATTATGATCTTTTAAAGAAAGAGGCAGAGCAAGCCTGTAGAGAAACAGAAAATTTGCCTCTCACTACAATTAGGGAGCAAAGAGGCACCAATAATAGCAAACGAAGGGCAATGAGCTTCTCAGGAACGTCTGAGACCTCATTTGGGCAGGCTCCAGAGGTTTTCCATGTGCAAGGAGTGAAGGATTACAAGCTGGTCTTGTTTAAAGGAAAATAGGTTCCAATTTTAGGAAGCTACTACATAATAATATAATCTGTAAAAAAATTGAAGTTAAATTCTTTTAGAGGTGAGTTGATTTTAAATTTGCAAGGCTATATATATAGGCAGAATAAGGCTAATTATAGAAATTATAGGTAATTCAGGAATTTAGAGGCAGAGAGGGCTGGGACAGGAATCAGTCTGGGACTGTTCCCTGGCTCTTGAGCAGGAAGGGGAATGTGGGGAGTTTGCAGAACAACCTTTTAGCCAGGTCCCTGAGGACTCTCCTTCCCTTTGTTGTCTAGAGTCATATGGTTAACATTCCTGGGCTGATGTGACAGAGGAGAGGTAGAACCAGGATTCCCCTCTTGCTATATATGTAACATTCCTGGGCTGATGCGACGATGGAGGAGAGGTAGAACCAGGACTCCCCTCTTGCTGTGTGTGTGTGTGTGTGTGTGTGTGGAGTAAGGGAGAGAAAGTATAACGTAACATGTTCCAAGAGAAAGAGATTTGATAACAAGGACAAAAAATAAATAAATAAAGGTCTCCCTGAAATATGTGTGTATTCAGGCAGAGAAAAATAAAAATGTTTCAGAAAATGTTATATGAATAGATATGGTGATACCATTGAATATTAAAAAGGCATAGGAAGGGAGTGCACTGGGGTTGCCAAGTCTGGGTTGGAAAATACCTGAAGACTTTGGGAAAGGAGGGGAGAGGCTTCAGCAGGGTGGAATGCCATAAAATCTACCCTTCAAAGCAGCCACTTTCTCCAGGGGAGCTGATCTCTGTCAGCTGGAGATAAGTTGTAAAAGCGAGAGATCCTCAGGGCCCTGTCAGCGTAATGGAAGCACCAATAATAACACATTCCAGAGTTGGCTAGTGCTGAACTATTTACAGAGCTTTATTTACAGCAACTATATACATACAGTCCTTTAGCACTTGTAGCATCCAATTCACCAGGCTTACTGACAAAGTGCTTCGCATAGCATTCAATCCACAAGAGTGAACAATAGCATACAGACTGTACTCAATATATACATCTGAGCACCAATCAGAACAAAGTGCTGACTCATGGTGACAGTAGTCAGGATGATACAATCTTAGGACCTGGTGACATGTCACATGACACACTAACTGTCACCTCAGATCAAGATGATCTAATAGACTACTTTTTACTTGGCTGTCATCTTGCCTGTCATACCTTATTGTATGCCATCAGGCCCAACTGGAAGCTGGCAACCCTAGAGTGCACAATCCCTCAATTTGCCCCCACCCACAGAAATATTCAATTACAGGAAGTTGCCTCTACTATTCCAAAAGTTAAAAATCTCAAGAGAGTGTTTCAAATAAGCCAAGAAAGAAATGAAATTCAGAGGCATTATTTGGAACAGTTTTGAGAAGTAATGCACAATAATTATAGGTTGTGTGCATTTCACATGTAATAAGTAAAGACTAATTTTGAATTATGCATTCAAAGCTGGATTATAGTCAGATATTTTAAGATAATAATAGATAGATATCCTGTGAAAAGAGAGCCACAGATGAAGGTTTTCTTTTATGACACAGGAGATTTACATAGACGCCATGGGGCAGCAGGATTTGAATCATTTTTATTTTGGTAAGTCACCCCAAATAAAAATGTGGACTGGAGGTCATAAACAAATAAAAGTTAAGAAGGAGTTGAAGGGAACTTAGGTAGGAAGACTGTAGAAGGAGAGATAGGGGAAATGAAAAGTATTTAGTGATGCTTTGAAATGGAGAGCAGAAAGGAAAGGAAATAGAAAGTAGAGGTCTGAGGTTTCCTTCTCCCACAAACGTTGGAGAAAGGAAAAAGCATTTTGGAGAGCAAGAATTCACGGGGATGCTAACTCCAGCTGAGAGTTGAGGATCATTAGATTTCATCTAGGGGTTTTCCCAAACCCCTCCCCAGGTTTCCAGGTCTTACCAGGCTTCAGCCAAAAAAAGGGGGGGGAAGCCAGTGTACAGTACAAGGAACAGCAAAGAACACAC